AGTCAGTCGGTAGTCGTCTGGCGTCTGCCCTACATGTGCATCATGTGCACACCCCCCCTTTTTGCTTTCAGCTACAGCGGTGGCAGCTGTAGCGCTTAGCTACTCATCGGGGAGACAAAACAAAAGGAAGTAAACAAACTAAAGTAACTTACAATATAATCCTCCCGGTGCCGGTGTAGGGTCTGCGGCGGTGACCGTTTCCTTCGGCGGCTCCTGTTCGCTGCAAAGGGGTTGATGCTTGCTTCAACTCCTCACATTGTATGAAAGGGAATTTGGCCTTATGTATTCATGTCAAACAGTTTCGCAAAGTAAGTATATTCGTACACCATCAGGGAGAAATTTGCTTCCTTTTTTTTTCTCTCGCTCTGTTCTCGTTTTAATTAAAAGATATTTTCACACTTGTATGCATATTATTTACAATGCACAAATACCGCCATTATTTTTACCTTTTTTTTTCTTTTATAAAAACAATTTTTATTTATCATTTGACTTCGTTGAACTTTTTACTTCGGTAAGAATCTCTTGTGGAAATCAACAACTTAACAACTTAAGAAAAATTAATAAAGATTACACGACCATTTGTTTATACATGTCATATTTGTTTATGGAATTAAGGCAGAATTGAAAATTTACATAAATTATTGGACTATTTCTTTTTCTTAATTTATTAAATGCACTTGGCTTGCTTGTTTTGTTCAAGGTAATTTTAGGAATAATGCAATTTTATCAAAACTTGCAATTACTTTTTTTTTGGATAAATTGATTAAAACTTTTTTTTTTTTAAACTAATTCTATGGAAGACGGAAATAAATTTTTTCCGTTTATGTACATATTTTTTGGATGGATGGCTTAATCCAAATAAAGTCGTCACCACTCAGCTGCTTAGCAAAAAAAACATCACTTAATGTCAATGTAGAATATTTTTCTTAAAGTTCGAGTTTTTTCCTTCCTTTTTTTTTCTTTCTTTTTTTTTTTGGTTCACAAAAACGTTTAACCTTTTTTTATTTTAATAAAACTGAAGACACAACTCGCGGACACGTCCGCACTCCATCAGATTCCAAGTTGTTCTCCCCTCTATCTTGAAAATTAAAAACAGACAAACTTCTCATTCTT